TTGGAATGGGCTGCAAGTCACCATCCCTGGAGGTGTTTAAGGAAAGGCTGGACGTGGCAGTCAGAGCCATGGTCTAGTTGACACGGATATATTCCATCATAGGTTGGACTTGATGATCTCAGAGGCATTTTCCACCCTAACTGATTCTGTGGATATGCCTGTGACAAATGCTGTGCAATGAAGGGATGGCAAAAAACCAAAACCGAACAATGACAAAAAAAACAAACAAAAACAAACAAACAAACAAAACCAGAACAACCAAATTCAACAAACAAACAAAAACCAGTTAAAAACTTGTTCAGGCTGTGACTACCCAGGAGTCAGAAGTCTATTGGTTTGTAGGAGTGCTGAAGCCACTGCAAACTACAGGAGTTCATCACCTTTGAAAACAATCCTGGGCTTTTCTTTTTTTGTGTGTGTGTGTAGAGAAGTGTGCAGCTCTTAAACAACGTAGGAAAGCTTTGTACATTTCAGTGCCACAAAGTAGTGTAGAACACTTCCTTGCATGAGGGGGAAAAGAGGCTGTCACTGCCTAAAGTGAGCCCTTCCTTGCTGTTTTTGAAAGGAAAACTTCATCTTGTAACAGGTAAAGGAAGAAGAAAAATAACATGGATTTCTTTCTTTAAAACCTTATTTTGCTTTTGATGTTATTGATTTTGGTTTAGAACTCTGTTCCTAATTGGCTGCCACCTTTGATTTTATATTGAGTATCCAAAGCTTATTAATTATTCAGCCAGACTGTTGGGCATTTGCAGCCAGATAAGGGTCTCAGCTTTACTGGTCTCAACTCCCTATTGCATATAAGCACACACAAAATATTTTCTGGGCTTAACTTTTTGCTGACAGCTTTCATTACAGATAAAGTACCATCACATCACAGCAGGGGGTTGTTGGTTGTTCCATGGATTTTTTGACAGCCACCTTCTTTTTCTCCATCCACAGGGCAAGTCCCTCAGTATTACTGATCTCCTTCAGAGATGAACACTCTACTTGGCTTTGGAGGGTTATTGGCTTGAGGTCCTCTACAAGTTTTCTCCAAAAGTCTGCCTTTGGATTGGATTTTGCTTTGAATGAGATTTCATCTAGCACTGTTCCTCAGATGGGACCATAATTTTGGCGGCCAAATTCTGCTGGAACTTTTCCATTGGCACAACAGCACTGAAAGATTACAGTCAGTTAGGCTTCCCACAGCAAATATTTGTATAATTTGTCTCTTGCTCTTCAGGCCAGTTTGCAAGGATGGGCAGTCACCCCTCAGGGAGAGGAAGATCCCTAAGAAAAGCAGCTGAGGTCCTGGTAATCATAGTGCACAGTGTGCAGTGGGGCAGAGTAGGTTGCTGATCCTCTGCATGAGAATCAGGTTGGGTGGAGGAAGATTTTGGTGGATTTTGTCTTGTTTGTTTTTTCCCTTCAGTGTCATAGGTAAATTCCTGAGGCTTTTATCTCTATGATCAGACTAAACTCACAATTCCAGCTGTGCTGCATGATAAGCCTTACTGTGAACCATCCCCAGAGTGGAATGGTTACCACAGCACTAGATTCCTGCTGATTGGAAAAAAAAATTAACCTGAAACAAGAAGAAATGCGTGTGAAACACTTAATGACACAGACTTCTGGTTGGATTAGATTTTGATTTTTAAAAGCATTTGCTGAAATAAAGCTTTCTCTCTCCCCTCCCCCTCCCCCCCCCCAAAATTTCTATTTGAAGTTGTTTTTCCTGAGGAGAAATGTTCTGGAGAATCATAGTGCATCTTGATTGGCTTAACAATGTGGCTTTGTCATGAATTTGTACAATGGGTTTGCTATGGTGGGGTAGAGAAGGTATCAATTGTCCTGCCTCAGCTGTCTTTCACTCTAGCACAAACTCTTCCTGCCAAGCTGCGAGTTTGGACCTCAGCAGTTTAGGGAAGAGGCAGAGTCCTGGTTTGTGCACAGATAACATTTGCTGCTCTTCCTTGAACTATTTTCCAACTTTCACTGTCTTTTTCGTCTCTTTGAACTAATACATTGTTACTTAGACTTGGTCTTCAGGGCAACTATGTTACTCTTCTGTATATATTTACAAAGAGATGTGCATTCATCGAAGATATGAAAAGGTTTACTTCTCCCAGACCTGTGTATTTTCCTTTCATTGAAAGCTAGACTGTTACTAGGGTGTTTGGTTTCCACTTCTTTATGGTTCTTGCAAGGCTGAGGAAGAAAGTGGTGTGCTTGCACAGGTAAATTTTCATGGCAGTTTTGCAAGTCTGCATTTATAGCAATATCTAAGCAGTACATAACCAAAGACATTGTAATACTGTATAATAATGGGCTAATGCTGATTTGCTTCTGAATATTGCATAAACTGGAGCCACACCAGGGGGCTTTTCATCCTATGTGTGCTCCAAGGATGAAAAAGTTGGTTTTATGATAGTTTTATTTTGCATATTTACACGTTTTGCTTTGTAATTTGTTTGTCCTTTGAAGGACATGAAAGATAAATATCTACTTTTAACTATGGGAACATTAGACTGTGATATGATATCCATCCCCCTGTATCTGGACACTTACACATGAACAGTGAGATCAGCCTCATCTGCAGCCTCTCCCGTTCCTTGCTACCTGCCTGCCTGCAGGACATGGTGGGGTGGCAGGAGCCAGAGAGCTGACAGCAGCTGCAGCAAGCATAGTTTGGGGATCAGCTGGAGAAGAGAGGAGAAAAGACACAGTCTTCAGTATGAGAAGAAGCTCAGCCTCTGCATATTAGGCATACGTGCAATCCCCAAGGGGTAGAACAGAGAAATAGCTCTATCTGAATGAGTCTCCAAGCTTCCCTGTTTTCCTGTAGGTAAAAACCCCATTTTCCCTACCCTGAATATGCTCCAGCCCCAGCCAAAGAGAAAGAGCAAAGTATCTGCTCCTGCTCAGGCTGCATGAGGTTGGTACTGCCTGGCCTCAGCAGCTCCTCAATGGCAGGGACAGTGCTCTTCTCTCTGCAAGCCAGAGCAGAGAGATCAGGAAGTCTAGTTTTTTTGTTTTAAGGATTACTCCCCATATCTTAGAAAAAAGTACTTGTAGTGGTCCTGACAGGTTTCCTGTGCCTGCACAAAAAGTGATAGATTTTGGATATGAGGTCTTACTGAGATATCTCCTTTACATCCCAACCCATCCCATGATGGACAGCAGGAACTGAGCTGCTCCCCTGCAGGAAGAGCCAGAGAGGTGAGTGGGTGGGCAGGAGACACAGCCGATTCTGTTCCCAGGATCTCTAAATGCCTGCCTTGTGGTAGGCCATGAGGCATTTGAACTGCAGAAGGCAAGGCAAAAGACCTGCTTCTTCCACAGTGGAGTGTTTGGGAGGCATGGACTATTTTGAGCAAGAGTAGCCTTTAGGGACAGAATCCAACTTGCCTTCACAAATTGGAGAGGGAAATGGTTATCCTGAGAGACAGCAAAAGCAAAGAAAAAGACTAAGAAAACTAGGAAGGTGGCCACTTGTGGACTTTCATATGCAAGGAAGATAGGCCACTGCAGAGAGTGGGCATCTGTGTGCGCTCTGGGTGAGAAAACAGGTAGCTGAGAACAAAGACACAGCAGCAGAGATTTCCAGCCCAAACAAGGGAGCAATGCAGAGAAGGAAGAGAGAGAGGAGAAAGCAAAGTAGTGATGTGGGAAAGGTGTTAGGGGACCTCCTTGTTGAACAGTGCTGCAAGTAGATGCCTTATCAGATTTTCAAAAGCAGCAGCATAGTAGCCCTATTC